CTGGTTGTCTGTGTCATACCAGGTTGAAAGGCCCTGATTGTCGGTGTCGTACCAGGTTGAAAGGCGCTGGTTGTCTGTGTCATACCAGGTTGAAAGGCCCTGGTTGTCTGTGTCATACCAGGTTGAAAGGCCCTGATTGTCGGTGTCGTACCAGGTTGAAAGGCGCTGGTTGTCGGTGTCATACCAGGTTGGAAGGTGCTGGTTGTCGGTGTCAAACCACAATGAAGGACGTTGTTTGTTGGTATCATGCAACGTTGGAAGGCGGCGTTAGTCGGTGGAAATCGAGGTTGATCATGACGGGACGCAATATCTGACTCCTCTGGTTCAGTCGCCTGAACCATTAGTTGATTAACTTGGCGTAGCTGCGACTGGATCACGCGACTGGAAACAACAGGCAAACCTTCAGTTGGTTTCTTGTTGGAGGATCCTTTCCTCTTCCTTGTACCACATTTACGACCTTTGTTCTGAGGCATATTGATGTTGGCAAGCGAAGTTAGGTTCGGAGAACGTTTTTGCTTCTTAAACCAGTTGAGAAATTCTTTTAGACGTTTCATCGTTTCCGCCACGGCCACGGTGTGGGAGCACAGACTGTGAGTACACCAGTTCACACATGCTTGGTCGCACGCCACTTTGCCGCATTCTGGAAATACTACGACTTTATGTGCGTTCTCAGATGAAGTACTGGGAACCATGAAGATCGGTCGAGAATCTGAATTTGTTGGCATCTTCCAAATATGCGATTGGTTGCTAACTAAAGTAGCTGCTTTGTCAAACATTCCTTTTAGGAGAGTAAATGGAATGTCGATGATTTGTGCATCTTCGGGTGATACTGACAAGGACGGCATTTCATTTGTACCTGGAGCCTCTTGTATTTCGGTCATTTTGATTGAGAAGAATTTTTTCTTCAGAGATTTCTTCTGAAGATCTGTCATCGCGTAAAAGTTCCGTTCTTCTACTTTCAGAAATGAAAACTCCTCTGTTAGCTGGTATTGGCCTCTTCCGAAAACTGCCAAAAACTGCTCATCTTGTTGACGTTGGATTTCACTTCTTATCCTTTCTACGTAAGGAAGTAGTGAAGGCTCTTTCTTGGAGTAGTTTGAATTATCTTCAGCTTTAATGAGTCGATTCATACACTCGTTGGCATTTTGAGTGTAGACCTTTGGAGGATATCCCAGACCACACACAGAGCGGACATCAGCTTTGGCCGTTTCTCGAATGACATCAGCTTTTTCTTTCAGGAAATAATGGACAAATTTAGCCCCGTTTTCATGGATGGTATTCCACTTGTCAGTAACTGATGTAACAGCATCTTCAAATTCTTTGTTGGAAGTGCAGTCGACCAAACCTCCATCAATGCCACCGTCCACTTTCTTACCAAATATGTCGAATACTATTTCTTTAGCGAGCGTTCCAGTAATTCCAAGTTGACTCAGTTTGCGCTTGACGTTGTCCTTCATGTGAATATCACAACACAAATGCGTCTGGATAAACATCCGAGAAGGCTTTGGCCATGTTTGCTTCACCGTCGGTTCCATAAACTAAAACTCCATTCGTTCCTATGCGGTATTTAGACATGAGAAGAGGCAGCGTCTTGTAGGATGTGCAAAGTTTTTGTTTGTGAAGAATTCCTGGCCTAATGAAAACAGGATGGTTTCCTTTGTCTGTTCTTAACATAAGGTTTCTGTATGTGGTGAAAGTGAAGTAGAAACCTGCAATTTGAAACGTTGCATCCACACCAAGAACACAAAATTTTGCAGGATTTGTGCAGAAGCGCTCGATATCTTCCAATTGCTGTTCAGATGCCAGGAAAACGATGGGTTCTGGGAACAAGGGGATTTCTCTAATAAGAGCGTTCTCGATCCTTCCTTTTTGCTCTTCTTTCGCCTTGGTTATAACTTGCAACAAAGGGTCGTTGCTTGGGAGAGTCGTGTTTCCGTTTCTATTCTTCAACTTTCTGTTGATGTTGTAAACCTGCGTGCGGTTTCGTGGAAATTCTCCTGCCTGGCTGATCTTCATTATACCACCCCTTTCTTTAATAATCTGGTGCGTTGTCTTGCGTGGTGGTAGTACCGTTAGCTTCTCCGTGATGAGATCTTTTGTGCTCTTCATCGTGCGCTTATACCCAGCGTTTCCGGCATCTCTTTTTTTTGCATTTCCGTGAGCTTGAACTACTATTTCTTGTTCTCCTTCTTCAAAAATATACTGGATGAAAGACAAATCCTTTGCCATACGTGAAATCTTGTTGTGGGCAGTGATTATAATTTTTCGAACTGAAGGCGCACTTTTGTTTTTAAAAACTGGCGGTTTAACTGGTACTGTTTTTCATGACTTTTGTTGGCCAGCTCTGCCTCACTGTTGATATTCCCCGTGTCGTCCACACTATAGCCATATCTTCTTGATCCAGTGCATAGCCAAGCACCCATGTCGTCACATCTCATGTCCTGATCATCGCGTAATTCGGTTGTATCAACAACAAACACAGTGTTTTTGCTTACGTTCGTTGGAACTTTTGTTGCTATCTTTGACTGCTCAATCTTTTCTTGTATAAGCACCATTGCTACGTCATCTGTAGCCATTCCCTTTGTTAATCCCCAATGGTATACGGGGAGTGCAGGATCATCGTTGTAAAAGCGTACGGCTTCAACGTATCCTTCGCGTAAGTCACTGCCATCAGTTGAAACGGATGATTGGTCGATTCTCGCAGAACTTGCATCACTGTTAGTTGTTGCTAAAAATATTTGTTGTTATTAGTCACTTGATCAGATTTAACGTTTTATGAATGTCATTGTTATTTCTTATAGAAAATGATGACGAAAAACAAAAAAACAGAGCAAAAAAGCAAGATATAGTCTTAACTTAAAGTGTCTGTGACGTAATAGTCTTAAATCTTGCTCGTGTGAAAGCCTGAAAGGCTATATACCATTAGATAAACAACTATTAAAAGCTTGTAACATTTATCCGAATATGCTTTAACCGTAACACGCTGTGTTTGTAGTATATTACGTCTGACCAAAATGTTTGTTGAATTGACCACTTGCGTAATAGACAAAATTTTGATCTCAACAAGTCTAGACAAAAATTTCATTACAGCTTGAAAGAGCGTCACAAAATTAGTAATATTCCGAAGTTTCGTTGCGAAATGTTGTAAAATGCGGATAATATAGCCTTGCGAAGTTTGCCGTTTTTCAGTCATTTTGAATTACAAACGGGAAATTGACAGACCCAAAGAGTATTGGTCTGTCAATTTCCCAATTTTAATTATGTTCGTCTGAACTTTAATAGTACTTTAGTATAATTACTTAGGTGATTATTGAAAATTCTGCACGCTGATTGGTTGCCGTTGAGGTGATTGCGGTGCCCGTGCCAAGTTTGGCACCGCATTATATTCTGCCTGTGAGTTTGTTAGTTAGTTTGTTAGTTTGTTAGTGTGTTCGCATCAATACGTTTCCTTAATCGCCTACTATATCGCCTTTGCCAGGCTTTATCTCTGGTTTTATGCGTCAAACAAGGACAAAAATACCACTGTTCGAATCAGCGTGAAAAGTTGTATTCACGGATTGAAAATTGGTTTCAAGATTGATTTCTATTCTAGCGATTTATGGCCTTTGAAAGACAAGCCGCCAAAATAATCCTTTCACGTTTTTCGAATTCCTTTTTTCGAGGAAAGTTTTCTTTCCAATTAATCTCGGACTCTCACGATTGACTTTTTTCTGCGCCTTATCTCTTATTTCTAGCGATTTATGGCCTTTGAAATACAAGCGAAATTGTATTGTTCACAAATCGCTCAAAATTATTAAACTAATTAAAAATGCAGTCCGTTTGATCCTTGATAACTTCGGAATTGTTGGTTTTCTCGTTTTCGGGAAACGCCGAAAGTTTTATTTGTACTAGGCGGGCACCGCATTTTAGTATTGTGTCTGGTTATAACGCGATAATCACCAAAGCGATTTTCGAAATGGCGGCCGAAGCCATTTTGTCAATTAAATTAAATGACGAAGATGAGTATTTTTTTTCTCCAAAATAATCACCTATGAAATTATACTAAAACCATTATTCACCTCAGGCTCGGTGTTATCGTGAATAAAAAACCTCGACTTCGTCTCGGATTTTATTCACCGATAATCACCTCGCCTTCGAATTCGGCGAATACTAATTCAGTTAAATAATAGAGCTATCTTGTCAGCAAAATATGGTTCAACTTCGATGACCTATTTTCGTCACAGACATCTTTAAAATGCATTTTTGGATGGTACTTAACACCTTGGCATACGCAGCTTGTATATTTTTGACAAGGCAAGTCACTTTGTCCGGTAGTAAAGATTGTGGATAAAATGTTAAAAAACCGTTGGTAATACTGAATGTTAATCAAACACAAAAGGAAGGCTTAATAGGCCCTACTAAATTTCATGTTATATACCTCCGAAGATACAGTACCTGTCAAATTCTCCTGTATTCTATCATGTTGGGATGTGTTCCCTGTCTTGATTCTCTCGACCTGTTTAAATAAATCATCCAGTAATTGACTAGAAAGAATAAGGAATATTGCAAATTCCGAAACATTTGTTATTTTTCTTGATGTCAAACATTGCATGAAATGAATAGACGTGCAGCGTTAAACTTATCGTTCTGCAAGCAGTGCAACTGTAAAATGTTTTCATGAATTTAGTATGATGCTCACACTTCTTAGATCAATTTGGTACAGCCTTGTGTAGCTACTACAAACGGCAAGAGGTAGCAAGTTCCTGAAATTTTATTTTTCAATATATATTAACCCATTGAGCCGCAGTGCGCCCTACTTATTTTTTTACTTGTCTAACGCCAGACGATTTTACTCGTCAATTGGGAAGATTCGTTACCATTTGGGCAACACCAGTACCTGTTCAAATCGGGGGCATGAGAATTACGAGCGCATATAACAAATGGCATTGACATCTACAGCGCTTATACGGTATATATATATATATATATATATATATATATATATATATATATATATATATATATATATATATATATATATATATATATATATGTATATATATATATATATATATATATATATATATATATATATATATATATATATATATATATATATATATATATATATATATATATATATATATATATATATATATATATATATATATATATATATATATAATAATAATAATAATAATAATAATAGTCTTTATTAAAATACTCAGATACATCCGTCTGAGTTTACAATCGAAAGGTAATTGATCTAGTTATATTTACAATTGTAAGTTAAGAAGCGTAAAAAGTTTTAAAAAGTTTTTAATAGATTAAAGTCTAAACAAAGTTATACAGACAACGATTTATGAACGACCTTTTGAATCCTTCTGTTCTCACTAGGGGGAGTTCATACTCATGCCCTCTAGGCCTAAGTAACCTACTTCTTTTTTCCGGCAGCAGTTCAAGCAATGCATTGTCCTCAGTTGATGTTATTTTGTTCCACAGTTTCTTATCTCTCTTATCACGTATTTCTTTAATTTGTGTTCGTTTTGATATATAACCATTCTTATGTGCACGTTTAATGAATTTATCTATTTGGTTCAAATATTTACCGTCGTATGCACAACCCCACAGCTCAATAGCAAAAGTGAATATCGACATAATTATGCTATCAAACAGCAGATCTAATTGTTTAATTGATAGTCCATAGTATTTGCAAACTCTCATAATGTACATTCGTCCACTTGCTTTTTTGAGCATTTCTTCAAAGTGCAAATCCCAGTTGCACGGGTTATCTTGTAGAGTAACTCCTAAAAGCTTTAGCCATGTTTTTCGCTTAATTGAAGGGATAAGTTCGGGCAAAACTACAGAGGTGTGTCTGCGAACAACCATTTCGTACGTTTTTTCCAAGTTTAAGAGCATTCTATTCTCTTCCGCCCAATCCTGTAAACAGGCAGCTTCAGATCGAGATGTGTCTCCACTTTCGTTGCCAGGCACTCCTAACGTCAAATCGTCAGCAAATTTGACTAACGCATTACTAGGATCAGCAGTTTTAATATCATCAACCATTATTGAGAAAAGAACTGGGCCTAAAACAGTACCTTGAGGGACACCACGATTAATATGTAAATATTCTGTAACCATTCCATCAACCATTACTCTTTGTATTCTATTTTCTAGAAAGCTAATTAACCAGTTCACCACATACGGATTAATTGGTAGCTTTTTAACTTTTTCAAACAAAAGATCGTGGGGCACACTGTCAAATGCTTTGCTGAAATCGAACGACAGCACTCTAACATAATTAGCGTTTTTATCCAGCCACTCTAGCCATTGATGTTGGGATTTAATCAGAGCCATAGTCGGGTTGTGACCCTTTTTATAAGCAAATTGGTCAGGACCAATGTTATTTCTTGTGATAGGTTCGATTTCAGATTTATACACGCACTTCTCGAATAGTCTCATGATGATGTCCGTCAGAGAGATTGGTCTTAACTGGTTGCACGAATTTAATGGTGATTCTTTAGGGAGTGGTAATAAATTAGCGGATTTCCATTTCTGAGGTACTTTGCTGGTTTTTAGTGACATGTTAAAAATTTCTGTGACAATGGGAGCTAATTCAATAGCAAACGATTTCCAAAACCAATATGGCAGATTGTCCGGACCCGATGAAGAGCGTTTTTGATTGCGTAAAAGATGTTGAACTTCATGAATTGACAACGAGGGAATTCTTGTTCCTTTGGAGATTTGAAGAGGCTCAGGAGTCGTATAATTTGGATCTGTATTCACACTTTGAAAATATTTGTTAATTTCACTAGGGTTAAGAGAAGCACTTACAGATACATCATGTTTCTTTTTTCTCGATGTAATGCTATTTACGTTAGACCACCAACTTTTCGATCCAGTTTTCTGGTTGCCAAACTCCTGTTTGACTGCACTTAATTGATTTTCCCGAATTAACTTGTTGATTTTTTCTTGCAATCGTGTATTTGCTTCAGTATTTCCGTTTTGTATGGCTCTTTTCCTTTGATTCAGAAGGTGGTTCACAAGAGGAGACATGAACGGTGGGTCGCGTGATGACGTTCTGACCTTAATTTATATTTATAAGATATATGAAGCGTGTTTCCCTCGAGATTCGCAACTTTATCAAACCGGTTCATCACAACGATAAATAAATACTGAGTATATAAACTAAACTTACAGATATAATCCAAGACACGTCTTTGAGTAGCCTGCTCGCAGCATTGAAGAAAATTTTGTTAAACAACCACCTCATTTTACAAACGAACTTGAAAGACACATCTTTGAGTAGCCTAGCTGCTCGCAACATTGAAGAAATCAGACATGCATCTCCCGAAAGAACAGATCGAGATCGGTCGACTATTCACAACAACCATGTATGGCAATGATGTAAAGCTTTAATAATAATCCACCTTAAGTAAAAAAATACAGTGGACTTACAAATTTATTAGTATTATAAAACCATCTATATTACAATAAAAATTTGCATTTTTAAAAAGTTCAGTTGCCAAGGCACAGACGACGATTATGTTCTTTAGTTCAGAGAATAATGCAACCTACATTCAGCCTAAATTTACAGAACCGTTTATTACAGTAGTAATTCAAAGTTTATTATTAAAAAGTTTAACTGCACGAGGCATAAACGATGATTTATGTCTTTCGGTTCTGGAATTAATGTGACCTACATTAGAACCTCTTTCTTTAGTTCTGGTGGAATAGTCATGCTTCTGTGCGATAGGGACAATTAAGGTGGTGACAGGGATGGTTTACGTCCTGAGTAATTGCCTCCATTTCTCGAAGAGTTAGCTTATCTCTTCTCTCACTAGGCGGGGGAAGTGTATCGACCGGTAAACCAATAATACGTAAGCTTCTCCTTTGAATACGCTCAAGGTCGTTCACTAAATAGTGAGGTAAGCCACCCCAAACCGGTGCGGCATATTCAAGCAGTGGACGAATTTTGGTGCAGTAAGTTGCCATTCCTACTTCAGTAGGAAGGTGAGCCTTCCTGCACTGCCTTAGATGACACAGTCTCCTGTTTCCCTTATACGAGTAATTTCTTTGATGTGAGAATTCCATTTCATGTTACTTTGACAGCTAACACCAAGTAACTTGAATGAATTAACTCTTTCGATCATAACACCCCCGGTATAAAGATTGGGAGGCTATGGGATAGACTTCCCAAAGCAAATCCACATATCTTTCGTTTTCTTTGCGTTCAACTTCATTCTATTAGCGTTTGACCAATTCTGAACGGAGTCTAAGACTTTCTGCATGTTGCTACACTCTCCCTTCATGATGCATTCGCGTTGTGTGCAGTCATCGGCATATTTATATGTGCTCACCTCAAGATCTTCAGGAACACTCGTATTTAAGTCGTCAATGTGGATATTAAATAGAGTCGGCGAAGCCAATTTTTTTTCCGTAGACAGTCGGACTCCTCATTGATAGTCGGACGCATCATTGATCCGCGTTCAGGCCTCCGCGCGTTATCAATGGATCCCTTCGTAACCCGCTGGTGCACCATATACCCATCATTCTACGTTGTTCTTCTTCGACCACGTGCATGTAGAAAGATGAACGATTTACTTCGCGGTGCCATAATAAATCTACAAACTATACTACAATACTATAAAGGAAATATCATGGAAGACTTTTAAAGTTTAATATTATGCTTAGTATGTTTTATAATATAAAATATTTTTTCCCAGAGACGCTAATTAATCATAATCTGTCAAACACCAATGTCCGGTTGTGAGGAACATATTTGCATATTATAACACCACATTTAAGCTCTCTATAGCATGAGAATTTAATCTATTACCGCTACTAATTACTGCCACGCATTCGCGTATCCATTAAAATATAGAGCTACCTATAGCATGAGAATTTGATCTAATGCTTGAAATCTACCTGTATAGCCGATGTAGTAGAGCGGCCACTATAGTAAAACCATGTTGACTGGGACGTAGTATGATGTCATTTTGTTGAGTTGTAGTTGTACTCTCTCTAGGATTTTCCCAATATGTGGCAAAACAGAGATTTGTCTAAAATCGTTACTAACGTCAGTTGGTGGGTATGCTTTAGGTACAGGTGTGACCAGGCCATGTTTGTAATGACTTGGATACTTACACTGTTTAATGCTAGCCGTAATGATGTCATGAACAATCGGTGCTAGAACGCTAGAGAAACGTTTAAGTAACCATGCTGGAACACCATCGGCTCCCGTTGCTTTCGAGTGATTAAGGTGATTTAGGACGCGCTTAATATCCTACTAAGTAGATGGGGAGGATAGTTTTTGAGAAGTGACTCAACTTCATCTAGTTGGGGAATACTTGTTGTAATTAGGTCTTTCCAAGGTTCAGTAAAGGATATTTGAAATTTTTCTGCTAAAGCGGCCTCGCTACCCATGGAGTTTACTGTTAGGCCTTCATGCTGACTACTTACTCCGGACAGATTATAAATTGCTTTGTACCATTTCGCAGGGTCAGATGTGCGGAATGTTTTAGCTTTATTTTGATAGTAATTTGATTTGGCTTTCCTAATCATATCTTCTACTTGTACACTTAGTAGATTATACTGGGACATGTTGCCACGAGTAAAAGCCCGTTGTCTAAGCTTAATCTTTGCTTTACTGATGTTCGGTGTCATCCACGGTTTATCCGTGGGATGTAGGCTTATGGATTTCAGAGGCATACATCCGTCTAGAGCTTGACTAATAACTGCATTGAAAATTGAGACTTTGTCATCTACTTCGTCTGCTTCGTATACTGCATCCCAGACAGTTCTGCTTAGTCTTAGCTCGAGAGCTATTAAGTTTGAACGTTTCATCGATCGAAATGTTTTAGTTATTGGGCGTGTACTCGTCCGATCTTTTGGATTCAAAAGGAGGCATTGGTGATCCGATCGACCTAAGGGAGGAAGATGTTGCACTTCTTGAAACAGTGGCGACATATTAGTCATTATCTGATCTAAAGTATTGCTCTGGCGAGTTGGTTTCTTAACAATTTTCCTCAAATCAAAACAATTACATAATGTTCCTAATTTCATTTTGTTAAAGTCTCCAGCTATTATAATTCCAGCAGAGGGATAGCTTTGTAGAATAAAGTCGATTCCATTAATAAGGTAATCAATCATAGTTATCTCATTTATAGCCGCTTGATTTGGGGGATAATAAACTGCAACCAAAACAATGCAACTGAAAGGCCTTGGAAGTCTTTGTGGTTTCAACAATAGCCACAGAGCCTCTTTGCCTTCCTCTTCCATGTCAAACAAGCGGCTAGAAGGTATTGCAGTTTTAACATAAGTAATTAAACCGCCGCCAAGTGTTCCTCTATCTTTTCGGTACGGAGTATAGTTAGGTCCAACAGATATAACTCCATCGTATATGCTGGGATCTAGCCAGGTCTCAGAAATACATATAAGGTCAGGATCATTAATTTCCGTAACTGAGCTGAGCTCATCATTTTATTCAGAATGTGACAAGCATTAGTTAAAAATAATGAAGGAACAGTCTGTTTATTCGTTTTTATATCGGTAGATATCTTGATACAGTTTGTGGGCTCGTGGGACCTTCTTGTATCAGAATAAAGCGTATTAATGTGGGGAGTGGTGCTCGCGGTTTTAGAAAATAATTGTTGTCGATGAGTAATTCTTGTCGGAATCGGCATTTTTATCGTTTCATGGTGTGATGGACAAGCTTCAGGGGATTGATCCAGTCCTGCTTGTGACAGCGACTGCGTGTTAAACGTGTCCGTTTTTTTCCAATTGAGCTTTAAAAAATAATTATCATTCTTATACGATTCCGGGCAGCTGATATCATTTGGCCGCTGAACTGGTTGCAATTTAGGTTTTCCTTCTATGAGAGGCAACCTACTGGGAGACATTTATGCTTAGTATTTTTTGACATAGGTTGTATTGGGGTCTTGATGGCATTCGCCGTCATTCTAGCATCTGTTGTCTTCATGGTAGATGTTTGTGGAATATTTTGCTTAGCAGACTTGAGAGTACAAGATGCCTTGTGCTTTCCCTCTAAGAGAGGCAGTTTTCCTAACCAATTTTCTGGCATGGATTATTTTTTGATACCGCAAGAGACATGGGGTCGTGAGGGCCTTCAGGGTTGTTATAGCAGGCACTGGGATATTTTGCAAAGCCGAGTTAGAGACATATAACGCTTTAATAGTCATATCTACTAATATACACACCAGCGTGTAGTATGAAGGCGGCGAACTGCAATAATAATATATGTTACTGACTGGAAAGTTTAGAAATTTCGCGCCGGAGATTTCGAAAATTCAATAGTAAATATATTGAAGCATCAAAATTGCGCGCCCGATATCTGCCGATCTGCGACGCGCGCCGGATACAAACTTTAAATATATAAAATATATTATGTACAAATTTCCACTTCCCTCGATTCTCGATAACATAACAGTGAAACGTCGTGATAACTTTTAGTGAATTCTTAATATACTTCTTTCAAAAACCCCAAAACGGAAAGCCACGACTGGACCAAATAGTCAACAGGGAACTTTTGCACGCTGATTCCATGATCGCCATTTTGATTTTTATTTCGTACGGATTGCGTAATTAAGAGGCTGTCTCCCTAAAAACCGACCACTCATATTTTACGTAAAAGGTAAACCCACCTAAAACTTTATGACCAGGAAGGTTTAAGCTTTTAAATACCTGAATCGGTTTTATTTTTCTCAAATATTTTATTTTTATCCAGATATAGCGATCAATAGTCCCAGGGATCTCGGAAGCAAAATGGCGGCCGTCTAAACACGACATTTCCTACTAAATTCGGTTGCCGCATACGCGGAACTCTGACTTCCAATCTCAATTCCGTTTGGATATTTTTTAACAAGAAGTGGTTGAAATTTATCATTAATACTAACATCTTTGATTTCATGTATTATTTATTCAAAACTTTGCACAACGTAACCACGTCTGATCCGCTTTGTCTGTTCGGCCAACACACCACGTCGAGTAGAATTTGATATTCCCGAATCTGGATTGAAATTTCCACAATTAACTACCATAGTTGTGTTATATAATAATTAGTTGAATAATATAATATGTTATTTCGTGTGGATCTGTTTGCGTTTCTTCAACAGAATGCTGTCAATATCCATCAAATTCGGCTTAATTCGCAAACGGAAATAATTGGCACTGCCAATTGTTCAAGTACTGTTGGCCAGAATAATTCGCTAAATACTTAAGAAAGCACAAGTATTGTGTTTTAAAAAGCAATGTTCAATAGTTTCAAAACTAAAAACTACTTGAAACTTCTGGGAAATCATAAATATAGAAAATATCTTGATTCTATAGCGCATTGCCAACAGCAAAAGACGACAGGTCACGCACACAGTTGACCATTACGTTTAATGTTTTACGCGTTGTACCTTGCAAAAAAATATGAACTGTTATATTGTGGCTTTGTATATGATCATATCAATTCTGGTTTAAAAACCGTATTTCCACAGCAACCTTACAAATCTTGATTTTCTTTCTGCACGTTTAATAATTGGTAAGACTCAAATGAGTCAACAATAATAATATCGTAATTTCTTTCCGTCTGCGCGTTTATTTTGTTCTAAAAAATATTTCATTATGCTGCCAATCCTCAAGAATATAAGGTGTAAGACTTGTTAGTACGACAACTGAGAGTGGTGTAATCAATAGTGATGGGCGATTACCGATTACTTGGTATCGATACCGCCCAATACCAGGATCTTATCTAAAAGTACACACGAGTGACCACGCGGAATGACCACGAGTGACCACGAATGACCACGAGTGACCACGAGTGACCACGAATGACCACGAGTGACCACGAGTAATTTCTGTGTTTAAAAATCATGAAATAATAATAAAAACTATTTTAAGGTGGCTCCCTAAGTTTTTTGCCTTATACTGCCTATAGTATCCAGAAAACGCCTGTTTCTTCACTTTACATAACATGAAGACGAAATGTATTGGACACATTGACAATGCTCTCCTGAACATTGCAATGTGCTACTTTTGTGCTGAAAGTCCGTTACCATGGCAACAGCGTGCTTAGGATAAGGCAATTTTTTTTAGTTTTTCGACTATTGTACACGTCAGTCTACAGGAACATAGCAAAGCATCTGAAGTCAGGGGGGGGGGTGTTGCCGGAGGATTTTACCTGAAATTTGAATTTTTAATAAATATTTACCTAAAGTGTAATAATTATAATAAAGCTTCTTGCGATTGACTTGCACTGTCATACTAAGTTTCGGCAGAAAACGGGGTTTGGGAGTCCTCCCCCAGAAAATTGTTGCGTTTTTGAAGCTCTAGGACTGCAATTCTGGCGTTTTCTAAAGTGGGGGTGAGCCGATTAATCGGTAAATAATCGGCAAAGTTCGGCAAAGCCAATTAATCGGCCGTTCTTTAAATAATCGGTAATCGGCCGATTATTGCTTGATAATCGGCAAATAATCGGCCATAAAACTTTTCTGCAGCTGCCAAGCACATGCTAAAATACTGAATACAAGCGAATAGATTTTCACATTTTGTTGCAAAACCTGTGTCTTTTGTCTCGAGCGAAGTGAAGCTGGGAACATTTTCACTGAAAAACGCAGCAGTCTAGCTCCGCATAGCTTACAATATCCTGTTTTTACACCATAATCTGCCAAAAGTAAACTTTGACTGTTGACAATCTAAAGCAAATTCGCAAACAAATTGGAAGTAAATTGACTGTATATTTTACAAAAATGGTTATCATTTCACACAAATAATTACTTTATTACGCAAATTTTCACCTGAAAATATCAAAATTTTAAATGGAATTTTACCCGATTTTTGTCAATATCCTTTTTTCTTAAAATTTTATTGAAGGGAATAATCTAAGTAACGTTCCATAGAATTTTTTAAAATTGAAGAAAAAAATCAATATACGAGAAAGATTTTTTATGCAAATTTTTAAAACGGCCGGAAAAAGACAAATTTTGAGCTTAATTATCCTAAGCGCGCTGTCACCATGGTAACGGACTTTCAGCGCAAAAGTAGTAAATTGCAATGTTCAAGAGAGCATTGTTAATGTGTCCAATAAATTTCGTCTTCGTCTCATGTAAAGTGAAGAAACAGGAGTTTTGTGGATATAAAAGTGTAGTATAATGCAAAAACCCTATGGAGCCACCTCAAAATAGTTTTTTATTATTATTTTATGACTTTTAAACACAGAAATCACTCGTGGTCATTCGTGGTCACTCGTGTGTACTTTTAGACAAGACCCGATACCAGGCCCAAATCGGAAGTAGTCGACACTGCACGGTATCGAAAAAGTGTTTCGATTACTTTTAAAATTAGACATGCATTATAATCCTGTAGTTGTGTCATCGTTTTCATGGCTATTTCTAATAAATTTAATGTATTTTTTGTATTTTGCTGCATTTATCAATTTAATCAAACTTCCTTTACTTTATTTGACATTTTATCCACTTCCCTGATTAATATTCCTGACCTCGTCGACAGAATAAATTATGAAAAAGGCGGGAGATAAATTATTTTTTGTTTTTTCGTGGATTATAATGGCGGAAAATTCTGAAATACAATCGTCTGTCTAGTAATCGTTTGGGTAATCGATACCTCGATACTTTTACGAAAAAGTAATCGGTATCGTATCGAATCGATACTGGCGCTAATCAAGTTACCACGTTTCTCCCAGCCCTACACACAACCCGAAACGCGCACGCGCACACATTGCTTCATTCTATATTCTGGCGCCAGTTGTCATCAAAAGCCGGTTGTTCTAACCCTGGGTCCAAATAAAACTTTCCAACAGCTTGTTTATAAAATTAAATAGGTTTTCTAGAAATCTTTTTTGGATCAGTAGATGCTTTTTTTAAACTTTTGAAAAGAACGGTCTTACAGAAATACTCTCAAAACAGCGGATTAAAACTTAACCTATGCTGGGTCAGTGCTAATCGAGCTTTGAACAACCGGCCCATGAACTATGTTTGTTGCAATTTTATTATATTACCATTTATAGAATCGACTTCAACGTACAGTATTATAGAACATAAATATGAAAATCAGGAGGATGAGCAGTCACATTCTCTTACTTATTCATCGCTTATATGCATTTAACACATATCGCTCAATAGACGAATGAAGGTTTAGTTGAAGTTAACTGAAATTCACTGAAACTTACAGTTCCCAACCCGACACTTAGAAGGGTCTGGAGAAAATATTTCACCCTCCCTGCTAATGAAAAATGTACAAGAAATTTTTGCACGGAA